ATCCAAATGGGAGTGGGATCACCCCTTTCTGTAACCCCCCTTGGTTGCAATCAGCTTATGTTACCATTTCAATATCTTCTTAAAGATATTGTTATACGCATCCAAAGGAAGAGAAATGGGCTTTGCTGACGAAGGCCAAGGGGAGCCTACCTGGCAGGAAGGAGGGAGCAGACAGGTGCACAGAAGCCCAGAGAACTCTGCTGGGTCTGCCTGGCTCTGTGCAAATGAGCAAGGATCCTGCCAGTCCCCGGGAAAAGGGTGCTCTGAGTGATGGGCCAAGCAGGAGCGCAGGTGTTAAAGTGAAAGGAAATTTCCACTGGGCTGCGCCAGGCGCCAGGACACGCACATTCCAGCAGGGGAAGGGACTAGGTCCCACCGTGTGAGCACACTGGACAAGACTTGGGTCAGTGTGCCCTCTGACCAGTGGAAGATGGGATGGCTCTGAAGACGGGCCAGCTGTGTTTGTGCCCAAGGCAAGAAACAAAGGTAGAGGAGCCTGGTGCAGGGCAGGGCCGGGCAGGGGCATGGGGAGGGCCAGGCAGTAGGGAGCAGAATTCCTCCGGCCAGACCCTGAGACCGCCAGCAGGGCGTGCAGAGGCCTGGGCTCCACGTGCAGGCAGGAGGGCCGCAGCCACAGAAGAGAACCAGACCTCCGGGGAAGATGGTGGGTCAGGGCCCTGCAGTCCCACGGAGGCTGGCTTCTGCGGAATCCAGGCGGCATGATCTAGGGTCCCACGTGGCATGAGGGCCGGGCTGGGTGAAAGACAAGCACTGTGAGAAGGCCCCACAGGCTGAGCACACGGGGTGCTTGGCTCCAGCCGGAAGGGAAAGCAGTCACAGGTGTGTGTGTGTGTGTGTGTGTGTGAATGTGTATGTGTGTGTGTGGGGGTGGGGGTGGGGGGGTTGTTATGAACTAGAAACTGTCTTTTGTTGACATTTTAACAATGTTTGAGCTCTGCTCTTCCCTTTCAGTTGTTCTCATTTGGTTCCTGTTTTAGAGTAGAAACAGCTTTGCAAGTGGCTGTTGGCTCATGAAGACCTGCGTGCCAGCTGCAGGTAAAGGCAGGGACAAGGACACAGCAGCGGAGTGGCTGAGGGTGGTCCCGCAGAGAGCGTGATGAGGGGACTGTCCCCAGGGCGCTGCTAGGCCGGGGCAGTGCACACAGAGTGGTCCCGTTCTACAGGCCTGAGAGCTCCGGGCCCGTCAGTCTTGCCCGGAGAATGTGCTCACCAAACCCAAGCCCACGGCCAGCCTGGAATCCCACCAAGGACCCTCTCCGCCCCATCCGGACGGGAAGGTCAGCAAACCCGCCTGGAATGCCACAGGCAGGAGCCCCTCAGGCTGCCTATGCCAGTGCATTGTCCCCTCATGCCCTGTGCATCCCAGGAAGCACTCCTTTCTCCGCACCCGGGAGGGAGGGAAGAAGAAGCCAGCGCCGGTGCCGAGGCAGGGCCCCCGGGCCAGAAGCTGAGGGAAGACACAAGCAAACCCTCTGGACGAAGATAAGGAGCATCTGCTCCCTGAGGGAAGTCCTGGGGGCAGGGGTCCCAGCTCTGCAGATGTGGGGACACGGTTCCAATCCCTCCTTCATCTGGTGCCGGGAGGTGCCAGAGCCACCTGTGCTCCTTGGCAAGTGGGCGAGCAGGCGATGGGGACAGTGTGGAGGTGCTGCTGGCTGCGTGAGGCTGCACCCCCGATATTCAGCAGTCCCTGGGTCTTCCTAAGGTTGCTGGGTCCGAAAAGGACCCCTTCCGCACAAAGCTGGTCCTCTCAGAGGAAGAAACTCTACTCACCAGGCCCACACGCGACTGGCACCATAGCCCTTCCCACCAGCCGGGTCCTGCTGTGCCTTCTGTCTGTCACAGGACCCAGGTCCAATGCTTGGCACAGGACAGAGGGAGCCATTGCTCAGTGGGACTGAGTGTCATGAATGGCACATTCACCCTGGACCCCAGCACTCGGCACATAAACTCATCTGGCTAATTGACGAAGTGATTGGCCTTGCCCTGTTTGGTTCTTCCAACAAGCAGCACTACCGTATACCCATGTGACATCAAGAAACAGTGGCATGGAGGCTAAGTGACTAATCCGTGGCCATGGCATGGAAGTGGAGACGCTGAGCACTGGCCTCTCCTCAGACACTGCGGCCATCCACCCAGAGCTGTGCTGGAGCAGACAACACCCGCGGGAGCCACTGCCGGAGCGAGCAGGGAATGGCCAGCAGTGGGATCACTCAGGGGACAGAGAACAGAAGGAATGCAGGAGCCAAAGGACAGATGACCAGACGGGGCAACACAATATATACTCGACGACGTCACACATGCCTTCTCTCCTCCCTCCACAGCCTCCCCTTGGAAGCAACATGAGGTCTGTGCCCATGACCTTTCACAAACAGGACGGGATGGATAAAAAGGGAGACAGGACCCGACAGCATACGGGGAACTTCAGAGTTAATCCCGTGTTTGGGACTTTAAGAAAACTCAGCCCTCAAAGTGTTGCAGAAAGAGCCCTGAGCCGAGAGAGACATTTGAAATCTGGACAGAGCTGCTGGCGTGGAGTTCAAGGCGGGGTGAAAGGTGACCAGTGTCCAGCACATGCTTGGAAACCCCAAGTGGTCTGGCTCTCAACCAGGCTACAAGTCCAGCCCGAGCCTCCAACAGTGACAAGGGCAAGGGGGGAGGCCACGGAACAAGGTCAAGAATGAGTAACAGGCATTGCAGCGATGGCAGAGGTTTACAGACTGCGGCCCTCCTCACTGTGTCAGTTAAAGGACATTTATGGGGCAGAGAGCGTGCACCGCGCCATCATGTCCCGGCTGTTTACACGAGTTTGTTTACTTCTCCTGACCGTCCATAAAGCAGATGCTACCCCCCTACACAGGCGGCAGCCGGCTCAGAGCAGCCTGGGGACTTGCTCCAGGCCACAGAGGGGGTGGCGGCGCCAGCACACATCAGCTCTTGCCCCTCCCGAGGCCACGGCCTCCCTCCTGAAGGCAGGTGCCCCAGGTCCCGGAGGCCACCCCCACCTTGGGCGTGCCACCTGCGGAAACCATCCTCCCCACAATCAGAGCCGAGTAGCCTGCCAGGCCAGGTGCGCGCCTCCTGGCCTCTGGAACCTCTTTCGCGCTCACCCACTTCGTCAGGCTTCTCAGGAAGCTTTTGGGGAAGTTCTTGGGAAGCAGCTGTCACTTCTGAACTGGTGGCGGCGTCTCATCTCACCTCTTTCGAAAGATAAAAAGCGCTGACGTTCGCTGCCTTTTACTAGGTGGGGCAGAAAAAGTGTGTGCTTGTATCTGTGTGTGCACATTTGCCTGTTTGCATATGTGTGTATGCATGTGCTTTGGTGTATGTTTGCAGGTGGCATGTGTGCACACACGTTTTCACATGCATGTTTTCGCATGCATGTTGTATGTGGATGCGTGTGCACACTGGAGCAGGGGGGCTATTCAGTGGAGGGCCATTTCTTCCTTTGGGGAGGCTGTTATAAATTCCTATGCAGTTGCCAAGACCGGTTTGGCTCAGTGGATAGAGCATCGGCCTGCGGACTGAAAGGTCCCAGGTTCGATTCCGGTCAAGGGCATGTACCTTGGTTGCGGGCACATCCCCAGTGGGGAGTGTGCGGGAGGCAGCTGGTCGATGTTTCTCTCTCATCGATGTTTCTAACTCTCTATCTCTCTCCTTTCCTCTCTGTAAAAACTCAATAAAATATATTAAAAAAAAAATTCCTATGCAGTCACTGGGCACTTGGATCTAGTCCTGTGTCTACTTGTGACCACCTGCCCTTGAAGATGTTTCCGGTCCCCATTGTCTGATTCTGATAGGGGGCTATGGGAGGGGGAAGGAGGGGAGTCTGCACTTCTCATTTCACGGGGATCAAGCTGGGGGTGGTGAGAGAGAGGTGGCTTGTTGGCAAGTCTATCAGCTGGTGGAAGTGCGTCTGAGAACCAGAGCCCTGAGCCCTGGCAGGCGCCTACTCTGCCCGGCTGGGCATTCCTCCTTGGTTTCCTGGTGGGGTGCTCCGGGAGAAGGGCAAGGTGAGACGATGTGCCTGAGGTCTGGGAAGATGGCCTCACTAGGGCATTTCCCTGGGGGGCGGAATCTAGGTGGGGCTAAGCAGCTCACTTATTGTTCCTCTCTGCCAATCAGAAGCAGGGGCCAGGGCTCTCTGGACCCCTGCCAGGGGCTTAGAAGAGAGGGGCCACCAGAATGGTCTGCTCTGGATGCCTCTCCTCCGGGACTCAGCTGGTCAGGGACACTGCACGTCTGGAGGGCTTCCTCTCTGCGGAGGAGGGCAGCTGGGCAGCTGGGCAGCAGAGCTGGTCCAGCGCCCACCCAGTCTCTCCGCGGGCCCGGGAGATGGGGCAGCCCCTGTCACCCCCTCTGCTGTCACAGCTGACCCCGAGGGAAATGGGAACAGGGACACAGACAAGAGGCTGGGGGCAGCCCCCGCTTCCCCGCGCCCCGCCCCCCACCTGCTCCCACCCGCCAGGAAGCCGCGCGGTCCCCAGCTGGCGGCTCGCAGCGGCACCCTCCGTGCATGGGACCGGCACCCTCCGTGCATGGGACCAGTCCGCAGGTCTGCCCACCCGCTCCGCCGGCTCTGGGGTTGTTCCACCAGAAATGAAGTGGGTTAATGCACAGCCTCTCAGAACCTACAAACTCAGCCTAAGCAGATTTGTTACAAAGAAAGCTCTACCCATGAAATGGAAAAAATGCCGCGGGTCGTCCCCTCCCACGGGGATCCAGTTCATGGGGAAACCTGACCGAAGAGCCCTGCCGCCCCCGCCAAAGTTGTCGGAGACCACAGCCCGGACCCCTGGACGCTCGGACGCTCGGACGCACGGACGCTCGGACGCACGGACGCAGGTCCCCCACCCGCCGCTGGCGCCGCGACCCCCGGGCTGTCACCCGGGCAGGGGCCGCCGTGGGGGGCTGGCAGGGCCGGGGGTCGCGCGCCGGGAGGTGCCCCGGGGCCGCGTGGGGAAGCGGGGAGGAGCTACCTTCTGAATGCGCCCATCGATGTCCAAGTAGATGGCCTTGGGCCGGTAGCTGGAGGAGCCGGAGCCCATCTTGCGCCCGCGGCTGCACTTGGACTTTTTACTGTACTTTCTCGACGCCAGCGCCGCGGGGAGGGCGGGGAGTGGGAGGGAGGAGGGGGCGGGCGGCGGAGGGCGCGGGGACCAGCCAACCAGAGCGCGGCCGCGCGCCCGGCCGCTCCGTCGCCGCCTCCGCCGGCTCGCGCGTCTCGGCTCGCGCTCCGCCCCTCGGCCGCCGCCTCCCTCCTGCCTCCTGCCTCCGGCCTCCTGCCTCCTGCCTCCTCCCTCCGCTCTCCTTCTCCCTCCTCCTATCTTCCTCCTCTTCCTCCCTCCGCCTCCCCTCCCCCGCCCCTCCTCGCCCTCCGCCTCCTTCCCTCTCTCTTCCCCCTCCCTCCCCCTCCGCCGCCTCCCCTCCTTTCTCCCTTTCCCCTTCTTCCTCTCCCTTGTGTGCGCTCCCCCTCCTTCCTTCCCACATTAAGGCACACGCTCCTCTTCTTCCGTTGGACTCCAGCCGCCTCGGGGACAGGGCCAAACGGGCAGCCGATCTCCATGTGCCCTCTGGACCAGTGCCCGTCGCTAGCGACCCCCTCTGGCTGCTGCAGGGCTGGCCGCCTCCCCAGGCTGACAGCGGCGCACAGCGACCTCTCCAGGTGGACAGGCAGTCCTCAGCCAGCACCTGGCTGGCACCGGGCCCTAAGCCATTTGTGGTCATGACCCAAACCCAAGCGCCACTTAGCACTCGGGAACTGGCCCCAGGCTCCCCTTTCCCCGTTCATTCGGTTCGAATAGGAAGTGAGAAGAACTCTTCTCCGTCAGGCACATCCTTCCCCTAAGTTTTCCCTGCGTTCTTGGGGGTGCCCGCCTCTTCTACCTGCCCCCGGAGCTGAAACGGTAATTTTGTTTCTGTCCTTAATGCAGCCAAAGCAAGGGGTTACCCTGCCACCGGCTATTTGCTGGTTTAAGCCCTTTTCTACCCCCCGCCCCCCGCCCCCCCCCCCAACCCCACGCCCATTAACTGTCCCAGGGAGTGTGCAGCAAGCAGGAGGGGGAAGGAAGGACTTCAGGTAGATGTGACCTGCGGATCCCATGCGACTGCCTCTGCGGCTCCCCAGGTCTCAAGGCTCTCCCAGTGGGCATGAGCAGGGCCAAGTGGGCTCAGTGCCCGTGGCTTTGGGAAGGGTGCCCACCCAGCTGGAGAGTGAGTGCGCTTACTGTTTCCTTCTGAGTGAGTCCCCAGCCCCTGCCTCCATCTGTTGAATGTCTGGGCTTTGCTGACTGAGAGTGTGCCTGGTGCGCACAGGGGGCTCTCCCTCCAGGCCTGCCCAAGCTAGGCTGACCACAGCCACGGTCACTGCCTCACCCTTCCCTGCCACCCGGCCTCAGCTGGTGCACAGTCCCTGGGAGACTTCTGGTCCAGGGCCGCCTGTGGCATTGGCCAGGCCGGAGCCCTGAGGAAGGCGGGGTCATCATCTTTGGGTGAACCGTCTTCCTCGGCCTTTGGACAGACAGTCCAGGATATGTCACTCTGTGAGGGTCTCAAGAAATGACAATGGCCTTGCCCTCGACTCCCAGTGCAGTGAGGGGACTGGTCAGAGCCTGGCACCACGGGACTTGCTTTATAAGTGAGAGGGGCCAGCCAGGAGGCCTTTGAAGTGTGTGTGTGTGTGTGTGTGTGTGTGTGTGTGTGGCGGGGGGGGGGGGGGTGATTACAGTTAATCACTTGACTCACAATTGTGATAATGTGTCCCCTAAACCCTGGAAAGATAACTATGATTACGTTGAACGCTGTTGTTGAATGTTCTGATGCTATTTGGACGAATCTAGCCACTCGTTTATGGGGCTGGTGTGCTGCCCGGCGTGGAAATCTCACCGCCGGACAGATGGCTCATTCATGAGCTTGGTGCCTATTTATTCGCCATGTGTTTTTGTCATCTGACCCTCTCAAGTCACCTCCTTCTAGCGGGTGGTGCTGCTGCCCGCTGACTGGAGGGTGCGGGTCTGTGACTGTGCACGTGCCACCCCGTGGGACAGGCCTCTCACCCGCCTGGCTGATTCTGTATCAGAATGATAATTGCTCCCCTAAGCATCTGACTGATTAGACTGCTGTACGGATAGTCAGTCAATGACATGGCAGTCCTGGCCCCGACCCGTCCCCGATGGAGCAGCAGTGACTCTTGCAGCCACCACGCTGCCCTTACCATGTGCTGGTGCTGGGCACTCACTGGGCAAGAACACAGAAACCAAACCCCCGGCCTGGAGGAGCCAGCGTGTCCTGGGAGATGGACAGTGGGCTAAGTTAATATGACATGTAGCCGGTTGGATAATAATTAGTGCAAAGGAGAAGAGTCATGCGGAGAAGGGGCTACAGAATGTGGGGTGTGGGAGCAAGGAGAGGTGTAGGTGGGAGGAAAGAACCTTCTGGCAAAGGGCGCAGCCTCATGCCAAGGTTCCTCGTGCAGGAGGCCAGTGTGGCTGCAGGGTCGGAGGGAGACGTGGAGGGACTGTATTGGGGTGTGAGGTCAGAGAGGTGACAGAGTGGCAGGCCCCAAGGGGGGCCATAGAAGGGACTTAGCTCTACCAGCCCCCCTCTGACTCCCCCCCGCCATCAGATGCAGTCCACGCAGGAGGTTGAGCAGGGGCAGAGTGGCCTACTCGTGCTCTAACAGGGCGTCCCGCTCTGGGCCGAGAATGCACTGGAGGCGGAAGGACTACAGCGGGAAAGTGGTGGGATCCTACATCCAGTTTGGAGCCTGTTGGAGCCTTTCGTTTCTGCTCATTTGTTAGGTTGATGCGATTCTGCTTTTTGCTCTCCTTCCCTTTCACAGAATGTGGTTCTGCCTAAATTTATGCTCCTTCATCCTGCATGGGCCGGGGGTCAGGTTCCAGGAGCCAGCCCTTGGGTGCCCATGACATTAGCCGGAAGATGCCCCCTGTGTCCTTGACTTGTATTCCGGATCTTGGCTTGTCCACCAGGAATACAGCCCATGTAAGGTCCCAGAATCTCGAGATAAAAATGAATAAATGAATAAACGGCTGGTGTCTGCCGTGGGCCGGGGGCAGGAGGAGGAGCCTGGGGAGCAGGAGGCCTGTGGGTCTCTGTGGACCCCATGAGCCTGTCTGCAGAATCCTGGAGAAGTTGGGGAGGGGGCGTGAGCTAGCCCTGGGGAAGCTCCAGGGAGGGACTCGGGGACCTGGGTGTGAGATCCCGCCCACCCGAGTCTCACAGGGAGGGAGGGGGTGTAGGTGCAGGAGCTCCTGGAGCTGCAGACAGGAGGCTCCTGAGAGGCAGCGCTGGGTCCGGCCTCCTCACCCACCCCCGTATGGGCTGCAGTTTCTTCTGGTACCGTCCTGCCTGCACACAGGAGCCTATTCTTTACTTGTCGTAAAGCCTGCACCAAAGGAGAATGTCAGAGTGAGGCGTGGTGAGAGCCACACTGATGATCAGAGGCGCTGAGCCAAGACCGTGCGCGAGCAGCTGGGCTTTGGTCCCCCGGTCCCACTCCAGCTTGTCACCCTCGGCAAGAAGGCGCAAAGCCGTGATGAGGAGGAAGAGGAGGGTCTGCCATGTCCCTGCAGAGTGGGCAGTGCCCCCAAGGAGGCAGACACAGGGAAGGAGGTGGGAGCACCGAGGAAAAGGCTGGAGGGTGAATCCCACAGTGGAAGGAGGCCTCTGCCTGTAGCAGCTCCTGCAGCTGCTCCCAGCGGCGCCCCTGGACCGGGGAAGTGGGTCAGCAGGCTGCTGCTGACTCAGCCCTGAGGGCACCCCCCTTCTGTTCTCTCTTGGGTCTAACTGGCATTTTAAAAAATGACTATTCTGAAAAGAATCCAACCGCTTCCTACACCAACTCTTCTGAGCCAGGGCTGGGCTGCGGGGACAAAATGAATTTGTCAGACAAGGAAAACATACTGGTGCCCACTACATACAAGGCCCAGAGCAGGCCTTGTTAAAGGGTCGGGCGCCCGAGAGCAGTGATGGCGAACCTTTTGAGCTCGGCGTGTCAGCATTTTGAAAAACCCTAACTGAACTCTGGTGTCGTGTCACATATAGACATTTTTTGATATTTGCAACCATAGTAAAACAAAGACTTATATTTTCGATATTTATTTTATATATTTAAATGCCATTTAACGAAGAAAAATCAACCCAAAAAATGAGTTCGCGTGTCACCTCTGACACGCATGTCATAGGTTCGCCATCACTGCCCTAGACTCTGGAGCCAGGGAGAAGATTAAAATGATAAACTGGTGCTCTTCCGGTCTGCGGCCATCGTAGAGCGCCAGCGGTCGAGATGAAGTCCCATCCCTCTGTGACTCCCCACCGGAGCCCACACTCGCAGGAAGGTTATGTCTTCTCCCCTTTCCACGGAGCCGAGACAGAAGTGCAGTGTTCGATCCATGCCCGTCTGAGAGGATGATGAAATCCAGGTTGTGCGAGGACATTCCAGAGGGCAGCAGATTGCCAGAGTGTCCAGGTTTCCAGGAAGAAATATGTCATCACACTGAACCAGTCCAGCGTGAAAAGGCTAATGGCACAGCTGTTCATGTGGGCGTTCCCCCCAGCACTGTGGTTATCACGAAAGCTGGACAAAGACCACAAAAAGATCCTTGAACGAAAGCCAGATCTCGCCAAGGAGGAAAGGAAAAGGGAAAATACAAGGGAGAAACAATTGAGAAGATGCAGGAATAAAGTAATCTTAATACAACTTTCATTAAAAACTTAAAATGAAAAGACAATTACAAACTGGTTGGAGATAAGGCACTTTCCATTCTGAAGGCCTGACCATCGGCCTCTTGGCGGAATCAGACGTTTGTACGTCTGTAGGGAACTGAGCAACATCCGTGACCTGCTCTGACGCTCTGGGAAAGCCAGGCAGGGTGCACCAGGAGTTCGAGAAAGGGCCTGTGCCCTTGACCGTCTGCCCCAAGCTTTAGCACGAAGGGAGAACACACTTGCACAGAAATGACCACGGCAGCGTCCGTTTTAGCAGCATTTGATTTATACACACTTCTTTCTCTCTATGGGCTTGGTAATTACAAAATTATTACTAGTTGTAAATTTTTCAAACAATATAGTAGCAAGTCAAAGTC